TGTCTCGAAAAACCAAAAAAAAAAAAAAAGTCATGAGCCTCAGGGCAGTACACAGATTAATAGAAATGGGCTTAGTTGTAAGAGCTAGTTAGTAACAAGCCTGAACTATCGGGCGAGCATTTATAATTAATATAAGCCTCAGTGTGTTTATTTGGGAGCTGCTAGCAGGACAGAAACTTCTGCCTACAACCATGCCCAACACTCATCACTCTACTATATAAACAAGAAAATTAGGATGCCAATATTTATCTTATTTTGTGATAGTTGGGAATCAAACTCAGGACCTTCTACATGTTAAACATGTGCTCTACCACTAAGCTATCTCTTGAGCCCAGGCAGGCATTTTATTTTTGTGTTGATGGGATCCAAACTAGGGCTTTGAGCATGCTAGGCAAGTGTTTTACCACCAAGCTCCAACCCAAATCCAGGAGGTATTTAAATAATTTCCAGGCAGGTACTATTCTCTCCTTTTGAAGTTGCTTAGCCATTGGTCCTGTAAGTAGGTGTAAGAGGCCAAATGGTGTCACTGTACCATCAATAGGGAATGATACTTAGCCGTTTAACCTCACAAGTCCATGAGTCTGTGGAAGACAGGAATGTGTCTTATGCAACATTACTACCTCTCACTGTGCTTGAAACATAACAAATGTCCTATTTTGGGAAAGCTTTGGAATCTTGAGTCATAGTAGATGTCATTTTGGATAACAATTTTGCTATTTTTATGCTTCATAAGTGCCTTGAGTATTTATGACTTTGTTTGGCTTTTCCAGAATGAATATAATCACCAGTTCTGGACTAACCATATAGCAGTCATCAGGGACAAACACATCTCATTTACTCTAATACTTTGTGGATATTAGAATTAGTTTGCAGCTGATGAAACAGATTCTGAGAGATTAAGTCACCTGAGTTTGCACAGCTAGTGAGCATTAGTGCTAAAATGTAACGCCAGTCAGTCTGGCCCCAGATCCAATGGCCGTAACCGCTCAAAAACGTCTATCTATCCCCTGTCACCTTCTTCTAGAAAACTATAAGGAAAGGTCAACCTTCAGTCATATCGGGTGACTCAGTTCTAAAGGCAGGCTGCAATGGGAATCAATTTGGTATTTTGAACTTCAGCTGTGTGTTTTTGTTTTGTTTTGTCTATGTAATTCTGGCTGGAACTTGATATGTAGACAAGGATGGCCTTGAACTCACATAGATTCACCTGTTTCTGCCTCCCAAGTACTGGGATTAAAGGCCTATACCACTAGGCCTTCGATGTTTCATTTTTGGTCTTCCTGTTATAATGTAAATTCCAAATGGAAAATTTTGTTTGTTTTGAACAAAATAGCCACCACATCATTGTATTTGGAGTTTTCCTGTCCTGGGAGCCGCTTCCAAATCACCACACAGAGACTTATATAATTGTAAATGCTCGGTCAATAGCTCAGGCTTATTCTCTATTTTCCTATATTCCTTATTTATGCTCTGCCATGTGGCAGTACCTTTATTAGCATGGCATGTTCATCTCCTGCTCCTCTGTGTCTGGCTGACAACTCCTGACCCTGTCCTTCTCTTTCCTAGCATTCTCATTTTGGCTTTCCTGCCTAACTTTATCCTGTTCAGCTATTGGCCAGTCAGCTTCTTTATCAAACCAGTCACAGCAACAAAACTTTACAGTGTACAAAAGGATTATTCCACAGCAGCATCAGTGCCTTAAACAGGCAGTAAGTAGAAAATGAAAAGGTTGTATTAATGAATGAAAGGGGTATACATTACACTAACTGTTCACAAACTTTCTGCTTCTTTTAATATTACATACCTAATTCTGCTATGGAACATGATACCCTGTTTGATTTTAACAGCTTCTAATGAAAATGCACTTAATTCCAATCTGTTGGGCAGTGAACAGCAAGTGCTAGCATTCGATCTGTCCAAATATGACACGGAAGCCAATAAGAGTACATCAGTTTTCCTCACACTTGGAAGAAGGTTTTGACTTTTGAAACAACATGGTAAAAATGGTAGATTTCAGGATTCTAAGTCACAGCTTAGTAACCAATCTCTACCAAGGGAATGCATATTTGATGGTGGTTTTCCAGGACAGCCAGGTCTACACAGAGAGAAACTCTGTTCCAAAACACCAAAAAATAAATAAATACAAAAAAAAAATGTAAAACTCAAATCTGATAGTAAGAAGGCACTGGGAGAAATGTAGTGCAGGAGCCAGCAAGATGGCTCAGCAGTTAAAGACACTTACTCTGTGTGCCTGACAACCCAAGGTTGATCCCCACACCCACATTAAAAAAAAAAAAAGATAGCCAGCCAGGTGGTGGCACACGCCTTCAATCCCAGCACTTGGGAAGCAGAGGCAGAAGAATCTCTGTGAGTTCGAGGCCAGCCTGGTCTACAGAGCAAGATCCGGAACAGGCTCCAAAGTTACACAGAGAAACCCTGTCTCGAAAAAACAAAACAAAACAAAAGATATAGTGGCTTTCTCAGAATTCCTATAGCAAGATGGGAGTTAGAGACAGGGCAGTTTTCTGGAAGCTTTCAGAGTCAGTGAGTGCCTCAAAAACAAGCTGGAGAGGCTGGAAGGATGGCTCAGCAGCTAAGAGTGCTTGCTCTTGTGCAGGACCCAAGTTTGGTTCCCAGCACCCATATTAGGTGGCTTACAAACACCTAAACCTCCAGCTCCAAGGAACAATACCTCTGGCCTCCATGGCCACTCACACTCATGTGTACATACAGGCATAAAATAATTAAAAATAAATCTTAAAAAGGTAGAGAATCAACTTCTGAAAAGTTATCTTCTGACTTCTATGTGCACTGTGGCATATGTGTGCCTACATTCACACACACATACACCATAAAAATCATTAAAAGAAAAATATAGTTTAGCAAAGGGAATTGGAGAATGATAGGCTACGTGGTGATTTTAAATTCTTTCACAATAATGTTTGCAATAGTGACAAGTCATTGACCTTTGGTTCTTCTATGTGAGCATGTAACATAATGGGTTTGTGTCATGTCCTGGAGGTACTGTCTTCTGAATTAAACTCTTCCACTGATGTTCGCTTTTAGTTTCTTGCTGGTTCAGGTTGGCCTGTGCTATGTGCTTTTCTTGGGAGATAGAAACAAAGGCCTATTCATCCTGGGGGGGAGGGGCACTGACAGACCAAGGAAAGAATTCCATCCAAATCCAGCTTGGTGAACATTGAGTTTATTGGGGCTACTTATAGGTGCATGGGTGACTCAAAGGCGGTTACATCACCCACAAAGTTCCTTGGGCAATTTATGGGCAACTATACAAATTAAGAGTCTCTCCTGAAGCATGGATGACTCACAAAGATCTGCACCATTAAGGAGTTCCTTGGGCCACTTATGGGAACTACAGTAATGGAAGAGTCCCTCTTTCTGGTCAATTTCCCCCCTTGTATACAAGCTTGGGAGCAGTGGGGTCTCTGAGGAACTCATGATGGCTCCTGAATATGTACCTCCCCTCATGAGAGGACATTAATAGGCCTGGTTCAATGAAAGTCTCCTGTGGATGATCACAGCTGCTGATTCAAGACAGCAATGGTCATTTCCATCTTAGAAGAAACAACTACATGACAGCCTAGAAGATCTAATCTAGGTTTCAATCTAGAAGTTGGAAGAGAGTATCCCAACAGTCTTGAGAGTTTGGTGTATGTGGGGGATCAGAACCGGGCAGGGCTGAAGAAGTGTAAATAGGACTTCTTTAGGTAGGCTAAGGTCTTTACTTCATCACCTCTGGCTTAATCACTTAGGAAGTCAAGACAGCTGAATGGCTTGGCAGGGTCTAGAGGTAGTTGGAGGGGAAGTTCTAGGCAGAAGGAAGAAAGTCGAAACATTTGCTGAACGAAAGAGAACGGTGAGGGCAGGTGGTGGTGACTGGGGAGAAGATGGACAGCTACCTCCATCTGTTAGGAATCATTAGAACTCAGAAAACAGTATTCCTCAGTTTGAGGCAAATTGTATTTTCACAATCATGTGTCAAGTATGAATAAAAGCATTTTCCAACAACTTCGTTCTGTAAAGCAACTTTGAGCCGGGCGGTGGTGGCGCACGGCTTTAATCCCAGGCCCCCCCCCCGGGGGGGGGCAGAGCCAGGCGGATCTCTGTGAGTTCAAGGCCAGCCTGGTCTACAGAGTGAGGTCCAGGCACCAAAACTACACAGAGAAACCCTGTCTTGAAAAACCAAAAAAAAAAAAAGCAACTTTGAAACAAGGTCCTATACGCCTAAAGGTGAGTCATGGCTTAGAACAGAGAAATTCTAGCAGAGGTCACGCTAATGGTTTTTGTGTTTTGTGTTTGTTTTTTGACAGGCAAGTAGATGATCGTCCTCCCCGGGTCTCCTGGGTACTGAGATTACTAGTGTGCCACACGGAGCCTAACTTAGTAAGGTCTTACTTAACTATTGGTGATGATTCGTAAGACTTAGTCGAGGACAGGAATTGGGGGTGGTGATGATACTGGTAGTAATGAAGTCACGAGGGTCTGTCCTTGTGAAGTCAAAATCACTAAAGCGTCACGTCATCCCAGGTTGTGCCCTTCTTTCAGCCCACCACCTAGACAGCGAGGAACACCAAAGCCCACCAGACGGGCCGGGTCGGGGCTCCCGGCGGGAACCGGGTAGCCAAAGCCCGGCCCTGGTCTCCGCCTTAGCAGGGTCTCCGGAGAGTCCTCCTCATTCCCCCCCCACTGTTTACAAGGCCTGCTGGGAGTTGTAGTTCAGCGGTAAGACGACTCACTCGGCCCCGCCCCCTCCTCCGTTTCCTCTTCGCCCCGGATGAGGGGGGAGAAGCCTCGGGGACCGCGGGGGCCGGGCCCAGAGAGCGCCGGACTACAATTCCCGACGGGCCCGAGACTCCAGTACGCTAGCCTAAGTCCCGCGTCGTGATCCACGCCCCGGCGCACGCGCACCGAACGGTGGCGGGACTCGCCCGCGTGCGCTTTCCCGCCCTCGCCACGCCCTGCGCCGTCGGTCGGGCTTCCCCACCAGCTGTAGGCTCTGGCTCCGCGCGCTCCTCCTCCTCCTCCTCGGTTTCACCCGGAGCCCAGGCCCCGCCTGCTCCCCTCCCCTAGGGCCTCCTCAGACCTCTCCCGTCTCCTGCGCCTCTGCTCCTTCTGCTGAAGGCGGAGGCTCCATGTTGTCCCCTCAGCGAACCGCAGCGGTGGCCTCGAGAGGAGCAGGTGAGGCGTCCAACTTCTCCTGTACCCGCTCCGTGGTCACCCACGCCGCCTCCCAGTGCTTCGGCTCCGAGGTGACAACCCGTCCCTGCCGCCGCCCTTCCTCGTGCGGCTCCGCGGGGTACCTCCGCTCCGAGTTCGGAGCCGGGGGCTCCCGGAGCGGGCAGCGACCTCAGCCGGGAGCCCCACGGCTTGGTGCGGGCCGCCCGGTGGTCTGGCCCGTCGAGCTCCGCCCCGTGCATGGCAGGGCGTGCCGGGCGGCGGCGCGCTCCGGAGCCGGGGAGCCGAGCCCAGAGACTGTCAGTCTTAACGGGCCGGGATCGGCGGGAAGGTAGATGCTTTATTGCTCAGGCTTCAAGTGCTGGAATGCTGCGGCGCGGCCTTGGAGTTGGAACGTTTTATTTTAATCGGAACGACCTTGAGGCACTGACAAGTATTAGTAAAGTTTGTTTTCCACCCGCGCTTGTCTCCATGTTAGGAGATAAAAGAACTAGCCTACATTGGTCGTTTTGTTTTGCAAGTTTTTTTTTGAGTAAGTTTGGGTTCTTGGACTCTTCCGAAGACATAACACGAGGTGGTAAAAGTACTGAGTGAAAACCAAATAGTCCCACCATAAATTCATGGATGCGATTTCGCCTGTCATTTTACCTGGCACTATTCTTGTTTAATGGGTAAGCTCCCGAAACGATTGCAAGTTTCAATTGCGAAATCTGAAGGGGGGGGGGAATCAATAGCAGTGTTTGAAGAATCTTTTAGCAAATCTCAGTCTTCAAATTTGAATATGAAGTGGAATGTTTTGTGAAAGGTGAAGAAAAAAAACTAACGGACTAAAACGGCGTGGTTGGAATTTTTGCTTTGGAAAAGTGTCAGGTATTTAGCATCCATACAAAGTGGCAAGTCAGTTTCTGTGCGGCTTTAACGTGAGTGAAGGAACGTTCGGTTGAAAAAAATTCCACACAATTAAGCATTAGGTCAGTACCAACATACTTTATTTGCAGTGGTTTACTGTCTCCTGTGATAGTCATAACAATAAGAAAAACAGGTAGGTGTGATTGTGTGCCAGAATAATTTTCTTCATGTTTAGTAAATAAGACCTGTTTGTTTTGTGATACTAGGGATTGAACTCAGGTCCTTGCATTTTTGTGCTTTTTGTGAGCTAGGGTTTTTAGTTTCTAGGGTTTTAGTTCCTAGAGCTTTTAGTTCCTAGGGTTGTTCAAAATGGGGTTTTAAAAAATAAAAAAAAAAATTTTTTTTTGAGTTGGCATGATGATGCATGCCTGTAATCCTAGCCCTTGAGAGGCGGAGGCAGAACATGAGGAGTCAGAATTATGCTTGGCTACATAGTGAATTGAATTTGAGGGTCAGCCTGGGTTACATGAGACCTTTTCTCAAACTTCCACCCTCCAAAAATAAAAATTAAAGTTGGTTTTCTAAACAAAATTGTAGTTACTAATTAAAACAAAATAATGGAGCTGGGCTTGATGGCACATACCTATGATCTAGCACTCGGGAAGTTGAGGTAGGAGAATTTTGAGTTTCAGGTTTTTGTCCCAGTCAACCAAACAAAAATCCTAAAATGAATAATAGAGAATCATATGACATAAATATGAAGTTCATTCTTGCCTGTTCCTATGAGTAACTTAGATGGATGTGAACTTGTTTGAAAATTGATTTAGAATTTATTCATGATGGGCCAGCCTGATGGCTCATTATGTAAAGGCTTTTTTTTTTTTTACCATCCAAGCTTAACAACCAGAGTTTGATTCCTGGGACCCACACCACTCATGCAAGGAGAAAACTGATTCCTACAAGTTGTTCTTTGACCTCTACATGTGCACTGTACATGTGAACACACATTAAATAAATAAATAAATATAATAGAAAAGAAATAACTAGCATGCCTGTTAATCTTTTGTCTGGTATTTTGAGACAGTACCTCATGTAGCCTAGGCTTGCCTCCAATTGAGGCCAGCCTTAAACTTCTGATCTGCTTCTACTTCATGTGATTGCAGACGTGCACCATTGCACCAGATGCTGTTAAAAGTTCCTTATGGTCTTGTGTTTCAGGTTGAGAAGTGTTAAAGTAACACAACTGCATTTTAAAATTTGAATTTTAAAACATTTTCCCTGGCTCTCTTACAGTCTAGAAGCATATTTAATGCTTAGGGGAAATAGTGGAGAGGAATAATGTAATTTAAAACAAATCCCAGTTGTTTAGAATTGTGGTTCGGTATTATCTAGGGACTTAAAGCCTATAAATGCTTGGGTTAAATGAGTAGATTTAAAAAAGGACAAACAAAAAAAACCTGGGTCTCTCACTGTGTAGCCATAGTTGGCTTGGAATGTGCTTTGTAGATGATGCTGGCCTTGAACTGACAGAGATCTGCCTCCCCTTCCAATTTTTTGAATCACCACCACAATAAGCATAACTCATAGATTATTATTTTATTCATTCAGGGACCAGGAAACAGTGAAAGAGAAAATCCACACGTTTCATTTTGCATGCTTATAAATAATCAAAGTTCCCTGTTGGTAGTTGTATACATTTGAATATTTTACTTGATAGAAAAATAAGCAGTTGTTAGCAATTAGTATAAGTTAAGTGATAGGCTTTACTCATATATAGCAAGTAAGCAAAAGATTGGAGTAAGGGCAGGGATACCCTGAAATGGTAAGTCTAAGCCAAGTAAATATTGCCAATTCTTTTTTTTTTGGTGGGGGGACTTTTTTGAGACAGGGTTTTTCTGTGTAGCTTTGTGCCTTTCCTAGAACTCACTTGGTAGCCCAGGCTGGCCTCGAACTCACCGAGATCCACCTGGCTCTGCCTCCCAAGTGCTGGGATTAAAGGCATGTGCCACCACTGCCCGGCCAAGATATTCTTGTTATTAGCATCTTCTCTCCAAAAAAGCCTTATTTTAAACTGGATATGGTGTCTCACACTTGCAGTTCTAATATTTGGGAGGTAAAGCAGAATTGCCGTGGACTTGATGTCACGCTGGACTACATAGTGAGTTTCAGGACATCATGAGTTACAGAGTAGTAAGACCCTCTCTCAAAAAAAAAGGTAAGCTGGGCAGTGTTGGCCAATGCCTTTAATCCCAGCACTCTGGAGGCAGAGGCAGGCGGCTCTCTGTTATTTCAAGGCCAGCCTGGTCTACAGAGTGAGTTCCAGGACAGCCAGGGCTGTTACACAGGGAAACCCTGTCTCAAAAAACCAAAAAGAAAAATAAAAGGCAAACGAAAACAACAAAAAGACCAAACCAGACTAAAACAAATCAAGAAAGGTTATTTAACTATAATTTGACTAATTAAAACCTTCAGGTTAGATTTCCTTTGTTTAGGAAAGAGGCAAGTATAATCACTATTGAATTTATCCTGTTAGAAAGTTGTTTTTTATCCCTGGGGCTGGAGAGATGATTGCTCCATGGTTAAGAGGAATTACTGCTTTTGCAGAGGACACATTTGGCTCCCAGCACCACATCCAGTCTGTACCTTTACAACTGTTTGTACATTTTGCTTTAGGAGCTCAGCCACCATCTTCTGGTCTCCCTGGGCTCCTGCATGAATCTTCTCATAAACTTGGGAAAGCACACATATATACACATAAAATTTTTTTTTGAGACAGGATTTCTCTCTGTAACAGTCCTGGCTGTCCTGGAACTTTCTTTGTAGATCAGGCTGACCTCAACTCCCAGAGATCCACTTGCCTCTGCCTCCCAAGGGCTATGATTAAAGGTGTGAGCCACCATTGCCCGGCCTGAATCTTTTTTTTTTTTTTTTTTTTCAGTTAGAAATGATTATCATTGTTATTATTGCATGTGCATGCATGATGGTTGTGTGTGGTTGATTATGGCCTGTGTGTGGAGGTCAGAGGACAACTTGGTACATTCAGTTCTCTGCTTCTGGGTTCCAGTGATGGAACTCAGGTCAGCAGACTTTTGAAAAAGCACCTTGACTTGCTGAGCCCTCTTGGCTGCCTAGTTTCTGAATCATAAATACTGTTCAGTCATACTTGGTTGTCATAAACCCATGAAACATTGACTTTCGTGTCAACAGACAAAATGGTTTTGTTTAGCATCTTGTACTGAAGCACAAAGATTATCTATAGTAAATGAATTGGGAAAAATTTTTTTCTCTTAAACCCTTTAATTAGAATATACATTTCCCAGGGTTGGGGGGTTTAGCTCAGTGGTAGGGCGCTTGCCTAGCAAGTGCAAGGCTCTGGGTTCGGTCCTCAGCTCTGAAAAAACAAAAAAAAGAATATACATTTCCCAAATATTCTGGTTGGTTGGTGTCTTAGTGTTTCTATTGCTTCGATGAAACACCATGATCAAAAAGCAAGTTGGGGAGAAAAGGGTTTATTTGCCTTCACTTAACCGTTGCTATTTATTACTGAATGGAGTCAGGACAGGAACTCAAACAGGAGGCAGGAGCTGATGCAGAGGCCATGGAGAGGTGCTGCTTACTGGCTTGTTTCCCATGGCTTGCTCAGCCTGCTTTCTTATAGAACCTAGGACTACCAGTCCAGGGATGGCACCACCCACTATGGGTTAGGCCATCCCACACGGATCACTAATAGAGAAAAGGTCTTACAGCAGGATCTTATGGAGTCATTTCCTCAACTGAGGCTCCTTCCTCTCTGATGACTCTAGCTTGTGTCAAGTTGACACATAGAACCAGCCAGTACAGTTGGATTTTCACACAACCTTTTCTATGTACCTACTGGCACACTTACTGCCGTAAGCCAAAGTGCAACATAGAAGCACTGAACTGCCTCCAGTGGTTGTGGAGTTAGGAGAGGGCTTTAAACTTCAAGTTCAGCAGACTTCCCTTTGTGATATTTTCTCTGGCTGTTTGAGTTGGGAACTTTAAGGACTGCCAGCAAAGACAAGGCATGGAGGTGGTATGCCTTTTTGTGTGTTGCTCTTGCCCTGCAGAGAATGTTATTTCAGAAGAGGACTGGAAAACTCAGGTCATAACTCCACCATGACTCATATAGTCTG